CCCCGCGTATAGGGTTGGGGGGCGATGGGAACTTCTGCCGCCCCTACAGCGGAACCCCTACAGCCTCTGCCCAGCAGGGGGCGTGAGAAGCGCTGAGCAGTGGGGCTACTGTGGGGGGCGGGGAGCGCGCAGCACGCGCCGCACGGACACCTGTGTGACCCCCCTGTCCCCCGCCCCTAGTCCTGTGGAGCTCCTTGTGGTTATTGTGGCCGGTAGACATTAGTTTCGGCTAAAGTTTTCCCTGAACGGTACTTGGTTTGTACCTGCGCTAGGAACTCAATTCCGGGGTGGGGCAGAGCATCTTCCAGGTTGAGAAGGGTCTGCAGTCCACCAGCCTTCCCTCTCCTCCTGACTCCCTCTTCCCCTCTCCAGCATGAATGGAACCGTGGAGAAAACAAAGAAAACTTGGAACACCCGCCTGAAGGTTTTTTTGTTTGTTTTGTTTTTTCCTCCAAGCCCAATATTTCCAACCCAGCAGCCTAAAATCGTGATATGCAGCCTAAAATGTGCTTGGAGACTGTCACTTGAATTGACTAAGAAGCTGTGTACCATGGAGAGCACGTATGTACGTCCTGTTTTCTCTTTCATCTTTTCTGCCTCTGGAAGAGTAGTAAATCCAAGTCTTGGTTTAGCTATCCACAGAAAGGGGAGGCTTTATTGTTACAAGTGTACATCAGTCTGTAGACAGTAAGACTTCTGGCTTTTGATCTTTTCTTATGGCATTAACAATATGGAAACATGTTCTCTGAATGTTAACCTTTAAACATAGTTCAATTGGAAATCTGAATTGCAGGCAGACAGGTTTTCTTCTCTCCAAAGCTTAGACCACAAAATTAGTTTTGACCCAATTAGGACTGAGGATTAAATGCTGAAGAAACAACAAGGACGTTGTTGGGCATTAACAATGGGCAAAGTATGGAACTAAGCACTTGAAATGCATTGTCTTATTTTTTTAGGGAACATGAATTACACATGGTAAGTTAAAAGGATGAACGAGACGTTCCTTTCAGGATTCCAAGGAGTCCAGTCCTATTTAAGGCAAGCCCAGGGTTTCCTACCGCAGCCAGGCCAATCTAGAGAGGTGTTCTAGTTTCCTATAGAGCAGGGCTCCAGCTCCCAAAGATGCAAAACCAAGCTAGCGAAATTCCAAGCAAGGGGGTAGCCCAGATGATATTTCAAGTCTTTTCCATCAGTAAATCCAATGAGTCTAAACCCTTCTCTGAGTGAAAAAGGCTTTCAGCCCAAGTTCCTTCCAGGGCAGCGAGAGAAAAAGTTGAACCACTTCCCCTCTTCCTATGAGTTGTTTGAGGTGGGCAAAGCTGGAGCCAGCTCGAACTCCTGCGGCCACGTTGAACCTGTCGCGTCTATTTACCTGTGCAAGCACGAAGTCACAATGTGGCGTGGGCCTCCCTACGCTCTCTGATTGCACGTCCTTGAAGAAAGCGTGAGGAGAAGATAAGAGCCCTTTTTCATAAAGCTCCTTGCTGACCCTGTTAGGCCCATTGGGTCTGTCTCTAGGGGACAGGGGACGGGTACAGCAGGGAGGGATTCATCAGGAGATCCTGTCAGCTGTGCTTCACATGCTCCAAGGAGGCTATGATTCTAGAAAGCCCTACTTTAGCACTCAGTCCATTATCTGCGTAACTTACTTGCCAAAGCTCAGTAACTGAGGAAGTCCCCCTGGTCAGTGGCGGCTCTCCGGCTACTCCTTTTTCGTCAGCTCAACCGCCTGCTTCTCTGCCTATCCTTTAAATCTCTTCATTGGGGCAGGGGTTGTCTTGGGCATTGGAGGAAGTTCAGTAGCATCCCTGGCCTCTACCCACTGACTGGCAGCCTGCCCTCCCACCCTCATTGTGACAATCAAAAATGTCACCATATATTTCAAATGTCCCCGGGGGGGGGATCTCCCCAGGAGCCATTGTTCCACTCTGGCTTCAGTTACCACCTATGTGCCAATGGCTTCCAAATCCAGAAGCCCTGCTGGTTTCTGGAAGTCCTTATCCAACTGTCCCCTGTGCATTTCCACTTCAATATCCCTCATTCACCTCAAAGCCAACCAGTCCTAAACTGAACTTATCTTCTTTCCTCATTCAGGACGGAACTCTCAGTGGCTCAAACCAGAAACCTCTCCCTCTGAGTCTGAATCCTCCTCTATACACTCATGTGCTGCATAGTGACATTGGGGTCAATGACAAACTGCACGTACGACACTGTCTCACAAGACTGTAATGGCTATACCATACAGCCCAGGTGTGTAGCAGGATGTGCCACCTAGGTTTGTGTAAGTACATGCTACGATGTTCGCACAATGAAATCACCTAACCAGCATTTCCTGGAAACTATCTCTGTGGTTAAGCGACACGTGACTGTAGTTCCCAACTCTGTTCCACCCTCTCCATTCCCACTGCCACAGCTGTAGCTCAGCAGGCACCTCATGCTGGGATTATAACAGCAGCTTCTTGTCCCCCTGCCCTCTGCCTGGCCCTAGCCACCCACCACTGCCACCTGAGTGAGCTTCCTCGGGCATATACCTTATGATGCCCCTCCTTAGCTTTAAAGTGATTGATGGCTCCACAGTCCTCAGTATTAATAACAAGACCCTCAAAGTGTGTGATATGGTTCCATATTACCCTCTGCCTTATACTCGAACCCCAGCCCTATACCTATTTTCTCTTGTCCCCATGTCCTTCATTCAAGAATGTTCTCTTCCACTTTCACCTGATCCTCACTTCCTCATCCTTGAGCTCAAATGGAAACAACCTGCAAAAGTGGAAAGCAAAGGGCTTTTTAAAGGTTGTCTTTTTTCTTAATTCTATGTTATAGGTCCTAACAGGACTTAAACACAAACCCAATTAATTTTGTTCTTGAAGCTGCAAAACCCCCAGACACACAGACCCCTAGCTGTGGTATTGCCTGACAGTGGGGAGGGGAGCAGTCTGACTGCAGTGTGATCTTGAGGCCATGTCCCTGAGTCTCGGGCCCAATGCAAGGGCCTATGGCCTAGTCCCCTAGACTCTTCCCTGGGAGTGGGTGCTGGGAGGTGGCCATAATGAATAGCTAGTCTTATTTCTTCAGGAAAGGACTTGTCTTTCCACTTTTAATTTGGAGGAAGAAGTTTGCAGCTTTGACAAGGGGCGAGGTATGTGGGGGCACGCAGGTGCAGCAGCTCTGCTCTCCTGCTCTTGACCTTGAACTTGCCCCCCAGTGCGTGGTTCCCTGTTGAACACTGCAGCTGGTGGAGAAGCAGCTCTTCTCAGCAGTATCCCCCCGCCCCACCCTTTCAAGCGCGATGCCTTTCAGGATGCTAGTGGCACCGCTGCCACTGCATTTCCTGTTGGCAGCAGTGAGCAGTGGAAACAGAAGCTGCAGCAGGCGGTGGCCCGGGCACAAACAGCTCCCGCGCCACTCCCCGGAGCCTTCCCAGGCCTCGCGCGTCCCGCTGTCCACAGCGGCAGAGGCCACCGCGGGGACAGGCGGCACCTTCGCCCGGACCGCACTCCCCGCGGGGGCCGGCGGACCGCGATGCCGGGGCGCGCTCCCCTCGGCGTGGCCCGGG